GACGGGCTCGCTTGGGATGCTGGCCCCACCAGTGCCAGAAAAACCCCAGCTGAGAAGCTGCAGCTGCCCAGGATGACACCAGGAGGAGATCCAGCCCCTCCTGGGTGAACACATGGGCCAGCCCAAGCAGACCAGCCACCAGAAGGCCCCAGAGCAGTGGGTACAGGAGGCAGCTGCGATAGAAAGAGTCCGAAGCTGTTGCCAGCTCTGAGGCCATGTAGCAGAGCAAGCAGGAAGCAGCAATGAGTATGCAGCCCCCCACCATACGCAGGGGATGGAAGCGGGCCCAGGACTGGGTACACACAGCCCGTGCCTCCCGCAGGTACTGCTGGAAGCGACTGATGAGGCTTCCCAGTCTGGACTCCAGCTCCGGAGGCACCAGCGCTGCTCCCTGCACCTGGGCCAAGAGCTGAGTGTGCTCCTCCACGGCACCGGAGAAGAGCTCCTGCAGACGCTGGAGCTGCTCTGCTGGCAGGTCCTGAGCCACCAGCGAATATGAGTGCAGGAAGCGGTCCACCTATGGGAGAGGGGACACAGGGTCAGACAGCAGCACTGGGACCACTGGGAACAGGATTCACTGCCTCACACACCTCCTTCAGAATGGAAACAGCCCCAGTCTGCCAACCCCTGCCTGGACAGACCTGTCCCCAGCTGCATCACCCAGGGCTGGTCACCCAAATCCAGGATGTGACTGACAGGAAACACAATCTCTCTGTCAAAGTGACATCCCTCTCAAGTGACATCCATCCTGACAGCCATGCTGACTCCTCTCAGTTTTCCACCTGCAGATGCACCTCAAGTAACATTGTACATCACTGAGGGCTTCTATGCAGAGACTTTGGTAACAATAAGGCAAACTTCCCCCAGAGCTTCGAGTCATTACTAATCTGCACCTGATGTCAAACTGACATTGTTTGTCTGAGGACAGACATCAAATTAAAGAGCTTATAGCGGATCAAATCAAACTCCTCCCTCTTCTTCAATACAGCCACATTAACCCACTGTACCATAGGCTAAGGAGAGCTTATGAGGAAAGAAACAGAGCCAGCTATGATCGCAGTCATAAAAAAAGTCTTACAAGGACATTACCAGAGCAGGGCATCTATACAAACATCCAGCTGCTCAGCAGTGTAGATCTGCTCAAGCCCTGAAACACACCGATACCTTAACATGCCTTTGAGTCGCCTCAGAGAGCAGGCAGAATCAGCCTGTCCCTGCCTATGAATGGCAAATGCATGCACCACCTCTCTCGCAGGCCTGCACGACCTCCCTGGTATGCAAAAGCTTCTTCAAAACCAACGTGATCTGAGCCAGAAACCTCCTCAGACAAACGAGTGCAAATGTTTAAACAGGCAGGACTGAATAACACTAATTCCTAACAGATAATGATCAATATCCTTAGTGACTAATGGACAGTAACATACACTATCATCTTTAAATGACGAAGCACTCCAGTGCTCTATAAATACAGAGCAGAGAGGCTGCACATTTCTGTCTTCCATCAGCAATTGTATCCTCTCCAGCTCCTCACTGACTTGCACCAGTGCTGTGCAACTGGCACACTGAGGAGCTGGCTGGGGGCTGGAGGAGTTATTCTTGTGCTCCTAGCAATCCAGGGGTCCCTCAAAGGCAGGCTGGCACTTAGCTGAGTCACATGCCTTCCAATGTGTGCAGCAAATTTGAATCTGTAGCATGCGCAGAGCAGCAACAGACAGCCCTCATGTCCTCCATAGAGGCTCTGGCTTGCCCTGGTACATGGGTTGCTCCATTGCTGCGCTTCTTTTATATCTGGTATAATCACTCTCATTCAAATTTTGCCATTCAGCTCTTGGGGTTCCGTGTTTTGTTGCACTTGGTGTAAACTGTTCCTTCTCTATCCCCCTTTACTGTCACCTGTTACATGGTGTTTCTTTCATTTAGTCCTTTGTTACCGCTTTCCTTCTGCCATTGATCTAGAATAGCTTTTTAGCTAACTTGTTTCTCCTCCAAAACTGAAGCAGCATCAAAACATCCATTTGTACTCTTGAATCTCCATTAATGAGACTTGCCCCTAGTCATCTTCAGCCTTGAGGAACCAGCCTCCCAAGTTACCAAATCCACGTCTGACTGCCTGCGACCAATCCTCATCCTGAAGTGAATGCCACCTTCCCAGCCAGTATTTTCCACACCACAGCACTCCCCACCCAGCACTAAACAGGTATCTCACATTTCTCCTTTGAGAAAAAGGTGCTGCCTTTTACTGGAGAAAACACTGCAAGGAGGTAACTCTTAAAAATAAGTTCCTCACGAAGACAATGTCACCACCCCACCTCCACTAAACAGAAGAAGTTTGTGCTTCAAAAGCCATTCCTTCTCCCCGCTAGTTCAATGGGGAGGCCTATCGTAGGCCATACCTGCTTGGCGTTGATGTGATAGACTGAGAGCTGCTGCAAGGCTGCAGACACAGCGTCGCCGTCCCCGGAGAAGAGCTCCGCCATCACCTCCCCAATGTTACTGTAGGGGATGGGCACACCCAGCAGCAGGGCCACAGTGGGCACCAGGTTCACCTGGGGAACGGCCTCAGGCTCCTGGAGAGACAGAAGTATACTTGGAAATTGGTAAAGAACGGAGCAACACAGCTTTTCACTCAGGCTAGAAAACGGTGGGGAAGGCACCCCTGTTCAGAGGGGAATCTGGGAAGCCAGGAGTTTTCACTGTGAATGACACCTAAGGCAGTGACAACTAAAGATCAGCTTCTTCTTACCTCTGGAGGGCCAGTGCCAAAGAGGGGTGTTTTGCTGTACACAAACAGAGCTGCATTCACTTCCTTCTCGCTGTCGCCACCATGGTCTCCAGTCTCTGTCATGCCATGGTCTCCAGCCACCAGAAGAAGGGTGTCATTCCCCAGGTGATCCACCAAGGACCTGTCACCAGGATAAGGAAGGTCAACCCCTACCTGGGCAGGGGCCCAAAAAGCTCAGGTGGCAGAGGACATGTCTGCATCAAGCCTGCCTGAACCACCAAGGTGAAGCCCACAAAAGGATCTGAGCAAAACTAAGTGCTGATGCAGAGCTGCAACAACTGAGCCAGGGACCAGGGCAATGCAGACTTTAAAACTGAATTGAAAATTCAGAACCCCGAGACAAAGTGGACTGATCTTGCTTAGGTCTCCAGTGAATGCTGGCTGATTCCTCAGTGCCTTCAGGGATCCTGACAAAACGCAATTCAGAAGGTTCCCAACAGGAACACATTTCAGGCTGCTCCTATTTGGAACTTGTCTATTGCATCATGTTGTGTGAGTAATCTTCTACTTTTAAGGAGGAAAGAGGGGATTGGTCCCTGAAGGACACAGTAAATATGACACGATATATACTGCATTCTCAGATGCAACAGGGCAAACTACTTCCAGCACCAAAAATTAAAGCAGTCCTAAGAGTCAAAAGCCGCAGCATTTTGGGCTGAGGCATGGCTGTGTGATCAGGATTTCTGGATGCCATTCTGCCCTCTGATACAAAGGTGCAACTCACGGGGCTGTGCAGTAAATGCAGCGTTCCCTAGCCAGGGTTCTCTAAGTGCATCTCAAACATTAGCTAAACCTCCGTGTGCCAATCTCCAGTAGAGACAGAGAGAGTAAGGCTCAGCTGTACTGCAGCTGCATCATTGCCTGATGGTTTGGTTAAGAACCACCACTCCAAGACCTGAAGATAGCCATACCTTGGGGCAATCCCACGCACAAATACAGGTTGGGCAGAGAATGGATCAAGAACAGCCCTGAGGAGAAGGACTTTGGGGTGTTCATGGATGAAAAGCTCAACATGACCCAGCAATGTGTGCTTGCAGCCCAGAAAGCCAACCATATCCTGGGCTGCATCAGAAGAAGTGTGGGCAGCAGGTCAAGGGAGGTGATTCTGTCCCTCTACTCTGCTCTCATGACACCCCACCTGGAGTACTGTGTCCAGCTCTGGGGGCCCCAACATAAGAAGGACATGGACCTGTTCGAGCAAGTCCAGAGGAGCGACACAAAGCCTTCCAGTACGTAAAGGGGCCTACAGGAAAGACGGCGGGGGGGGGACTCTTCATCAGGGAGCATAGTGATAGAACGAGGGGTGAAGGTTTTAAACTGGTGTTCAAGGCCAGGTTGGACGGGGCTTGGAGCAACCTGGTCTGGTGGGAGGTGTCCCTGCCCATGGCAGGGGGGTTGGAACTAAGGTCCCTTCCAACCCAAACTATTCTATGATTCTATAAAACCTAATCTCTTGTGAACATGTGTCTATGCAACTAGGACTGCCCAACAGCTAGGATTTCAGCTACTGCTGGCCAAAGCAGTTCTCCATGTTAGCAGGCACAGGCGTTCCCTGTTGCACTCTGCATCTGTAAATTCCCTGGGAAGGCCCCACCAGTCTGGCCGAAGGAAGAGGTCTGCTGGCCACCCCCCACTGCTGCACTAATCACCTGAGCATCTCATTCATCTGGGTGAGCTTCTTAGCCATTTCAGGATGGTCAGGTCCGTGTTTGTGCCCACAGTGGTCCACGCCGAGGAAGTGAGCAATCAGCACATCCCATTCACCGCTGTCAACTGCAGAACAAGAGTGGTCTTATCACACACTAGCCTGGGATTCAGGCATGGTCTCTACACCTGGATCCTCCTGCCAGAGCTTTCTGCTTGCCTCTGGAAACTGCTGTTTCTTCCCCTCCTGCCATCATCACTCCCAGCTTTCAAGTAGACCAACTCAGGTTTTAACAGAGGGCACCCTCTTGGTCTGTGGATGCCTGCACGCAATGCGGTGGGTAGCTCAATGCCCAGCAAGTGCCCCACTATCCATGATTTTTGTTCACCACCCCTCAGGAGGGGAATAGCCCAATGTCACCCAAGTCACCTTGAAATGCCCTTAACTCAAATGGCCACAAACTGAGCCAAACCAAGGGGAAGCTCAGCAAAAGGAGAACCCAGAACTCCAGTTCTTCCATGGAGATATTTCAGGCCAGACTCATCAACGTGCCCCTCTGCATCCCACCCAGGACATGAGGCTAGCACACCAACACTGTCCCTAGATAGAAAGTTACCCTGGCCTCTCCCCTCTGCTTCAGGGCCTTGACACACGAAAACCAACATATTTGGAGCTGAATGATGAACTGCAGCTCTCCCACAAAGCACAAAGACTTCCCCATGAAAAACCACTGCACCCTTGATTCACTTAAATTCATGTCAGGTAAAGCAAAGAGCATTCTCCTTGGCCCCAGGACCTCAGGGAGGAGTCTGAAATCACCTAAAAGTCACAAACCAATCTCACGCTTCACCTTCTTCCCAAGACTCGGGGCCACTGATGCTTTGCTGAGAGCAGTACTGTGGCCCAGCCTCCCAGCGGGCAGCTGCACTGTTCTGTATTTCCCAGAGAACTGTGTGCCTGCCCAGGCAGCCAGGCAGCCATGTGTCCAAGTTAAGCTGCTCCTCCTGCTCCATCCTGGCAGTGTATTTCCAGGACAGGTGCAGAAGTCTAACCTCATCCCATCAAGCTGTACCCTCTCTCAAATGAAGGAAAAATATTTACAGAAACGGTTCATGGGCCACAAAAGCTGGCTTCTCTATGGAAATCCAGCTACAGCACTGTAATCCCTGTGCAGCAGTGTGTGACTGCCCAGCACCACTCCTTAACAGAAAAAAATATCTTCAGTCCTACCCCAGACTTGCAGTAAGACACCCACAGAATGTAAAGGGCTATCCAGACCCTGGGGAAAGAACTGCTTACCAGTTGGATAGAGATGCTGCAGGATCCCATCATCCACAGTGTGAAGATCCTTCACGTTAAAAGACGGGAAGAAATACGAGCGGAAAAACTTCTTCGGGAAGAGTCCTTCCCAAGTGTCATCACCCATGAAGACCACTCTCCTTCCTGAGTCAGCAAGAAAGGAATTAATGAGCGCAGGGAGCCCACCCAAGTCATATTGTTACCCATACTCGTGCAAAGAGCCTGGGCAGATCCAGCTCAGGGTCTGGAGTACTGCCTCCTCTCCAACCCACACTCAAAAGAAACCTAAAATTCAATTGACCATCCAGCTGTATGTGAGTTTGAATATCGGGAGCGAACAGCCCTGTTTCTAAGCCTACAAGTGCCCCTCACACCAAATCTACCTGAACGACCTCATTACTTATCACTGAACTCTGACACATCACACCAGCAGAGAGACCCGTGAGCTAAGCAGACCAGAAA